CATTAGTTTTCATGACTCTCACTAAAGGTACGTTGTTTCATGTAGGTTTAAGTCAATATTGTTGGCATTTTCTATAGAATTTCCATACTACAGTAACAAAATCTCTGATTACATTGGGCTTTGTGCGTTTGATTGATTTGCCAACTAAATTTTGTACATTAACAAAACAAATATAATGTTTCAGGAGAGAGAGAGAAAGGAAAGGCGGTAGAAAGGTAGAGAGAGAGAAGGAGACAGAGAATATGAATGAGGTAGAAAGGGAGAAAGAGAGAAAGAGAGAGAAATATAGAGCGAAGAAAGTGTAGGGAAGTGATATAGGTAGAGAGAGTGAGAAAGATAGAGTGAGAGGGGGGAGAGAGAGAGAGAGAAGAGAGAGAGAAAGAGAGAGAGTCAGCAAGAAAGAATAAGAAGAGAAAATGAGGTAAAAGACGCTAGAGAGGGAGAGAGAGAAAGATAGAGGGAGAGAGAGATAGAGGGAGAGAATGAGAGAGAGAGAAAGAGAGAGAGAGACAGAGAGAGAGAGAAAGGGAGAGAGACAGTCAGAAAGAATGAATAATAAGAATAATAAGGTGAGGTAAAAGGAACTAGAGATTGAGAGAGAGGGAGAGAATGAGAGAGAGAGGGAGAGAATGAGAGAGAGAGGGAGAGAAGGAGAGAGAGAAAGAGGGAGAGACAAAGAGAGAGTCAGAGTCAGAAAGAAAGAAAAAGAAGAGAAAATGAGTTAAAAGGCGCTAGAGAGAGAGGTAGAAGTGAGAGCGATAGCGAGAGAGAGAGAGAGAGAGAGAGAGAGTAGACAACGAGAGAAAGAGTGACAATGAGAGAGACAAATGAAATACAATCAGAGAGAGAGAGAGAGAACAAAAAAGGGCGTTTACGAGAGAGAGAAAGATATAGACAGAGAAGGAGAGAAAATGAGAGAGAACGAGAGAGAGCAGTAGAGAGTGAGTGAAAGAGTCGCAATGATAGAAAGAAAGAATAAGATGGAGTGAGAGACAGATAGAGATAGAGAAGATAGAGAAGAGAGAGCGAGAGAGAACACCTACTAACTTAATTGAAATTAAACTTAATTAAAAGCTTAAAGCAGTTACCCTAACTAGAATCAGATTACGAACTACATACAACAGTAAAAGTTGTGCTGTAAATAGTTAATTGTTCATAGGATGGGAAAAAAGAGCTCAAAGCCAATTTACTGTGCTCTGTCTGGCCAGCTGTCAATGGAGCTGAGTGCTGGGTGCTCGGTACAAAATCAACAGAATAAACATTTTCATTTTCATCATTTTGTGGCTCGTTGTTGTCGTTTTAAGTTTACATTTTGATCAGGAGGCGCTGTAACAATGTTGATGACAGCGATGGCATTTCATTAGTCAAGGCGGCAATGACTATCTGAATGACTGACTGACTGGGTGAGTGAATGACAGATGGACAAACAGGAGCTGCTGCCACTGCTGCTGCTGCCACTTCTGCTGCTGCTGCTGCTGGTCGTGTTGCTTTGTTTTTGACATTTGCGAACGCTCGTTTGGTCCGCACGTGGCAGCGGTTTATGATGCCTGAACGAGCAATGAAAGCTAGCTCTCTGTGTATTGGTGTGTGTGTGTGCGTGTAGATAGCGGGCAGGATGTCGAAATGTCCTGATAGATGTCGCTCTGAGCAAGTCGCGTGCTCGTCAGTATGCTGTCCCAGAGCTTGTCTGCACTCTGTGTGCGCTGAACCGTTGACAGTCAGTTTGACAGTCAGTCAGTCAGTCAGACACTGAGTCAGTGAGTCCATTGTGTATGGTCATATGGTGGCCTGTATATATATACAGTTACATTTATCAGTTAGTCACCCAGACATGCAGCTAACCATTAAGTCTTTCGTTTTGCCACATTTCAATTTCATTTTGTTGCAGCCACGCCTTCCATGCCAGCTGCCCACTGCCCACTGTCCACTGCCCCCGGCAATCTCCAGTTGCTGGCTAGTGTTTCGACGGAAATTGATTTTTGTACTTGAACGCTTTTTGCCACTTGTGCGCAGTTCTTGTACCACGGGGCGTATGAATTCAGCGAGTCGCCCATTCTCCCCGTCTGCTTAACTGTCTGGGTCGCTGTCCGTGTCGCATAATTTATGATTGCGCCAAGTTGCGAATGAATGCCACATAAATCGTCTTCACTTCAATTGCATTGCATTATTTGCACCTCAGATTTTAATTAGATTTCGAATTTTTGCTGCTAAACGCAAATCGCATTTCAATGCACGCATCCGAACGCGGCATTGAGGGCGACTTATGTCTGTGGCAACTACGATAGTGAAGCAGACAAACAGTTGGCCAAGTCCTGCCGAGCTGCGTCAAGGACATTCAAGTTTTGTGCATGAACAAGCCAAGCCGCAGCTGCAATCAAATTTGTTGCTGCTGCGCAATTTGCTGGCATTAAGTTATCTTGTTATTCAGCTATTGTGTGCTGAGTGTGTGTGTGTGTGTGCACAGTTCTTTCATTTAGTTAGCTTTGACTTATCGCCGAGCTCTTCTTGTTGCCCTTGATGCTACATACATTTCATTAAAATCAACAGCATCAAAAGCTTTTTCAAAATTAATTACTGTAAAAAAATTACAAAATTCAGACGAAACGCTCTACAGTTACCTAGCTACAGATCGACTATTAGTCATTTAGTAATGAGGCACGTGCTAGCATCCTTTATGACCAAAAACCTATTCAAATGTTTTATCTAAACAACATTTTGTCGAAAGTTCTGCAATTAAAGCTGCTCAAACATGAATGAAGTATTCACATTTCGGGGGATATCCTTCAGCCTTTCATCTCGATCTATGATTTTTATCAACCTCTCAATAATGAGCATTATTATCGTAATGATAATGATGACTTCTATGACTCGAGCTATTACAAATTTATGAGCTTTGCTTGAAAAACTGAAATTTGTTATCGATTTTAATTTAAAGTTATCGATGACTTGAAACAAGCGCAGCCAAGGACTTGGATGTTGATTATGATCAAGTATATATAGAGTTATCTTATTCTATAATTGATTCATGTATTAAAGAAATAACAGAATGTTGGGCAAGAAAATATTAAGAAAATGTTAACAACTAACTAATTAAGCTGACTAACTTATGTTAAACTAAAGTTTATAGTCAAACCTATTCAAATATGTTTGAATGTTAGGCAATAAATGTTAAGAAAATGTTACATGAAGCGTAAGCTTTCAAGCTATGGCTAACACCTGCTAAAGGCTGAAAAATTATTCAATTAAATACAGATAAAGTCTAAGAACAACATTCAACAATTTAAGATTTCTCTTTACCCACAACACACTTGCTATGGAGCTTACAAATGTATCTGGAGTCTGCAGTCAGCTAAGTCAATTTTATAGAAAAGTTCATGCACCTTCCACTTGAGGCTCTGCTAATTGAATGTGCCTGCAGCGTGTCTGGCTGGCTGGCAAAAGGCTTTTGTAAATTGATTTTGCATTACGGACTAATTAGGTAGACGAACTATGTAAATTTGTGGCTAAAAAATGCATGGAGCGCATTGATAAGGTTCATTTAGACCCAGGAAAACAACAAAAGCAACAACGGCGGTAACAACAAGAAAAAAACGGTAAACGGCAAATGCAGAAATCGGCTTACAAAATACGTTTGCTGTTGGCCCATTTGATGGGGACACAGCCAGGCAGCGAGGCCCTTATGGAAGTTATTTTGTTTTTGCTACAGCATCACACAATCGATTTTCGTCTTGGGTACATTATATAGCTGTGTATGTATGTGTGTGTGTGTGTGTGTATTTGTTGTGCCTTTGCCTGCCAGTCAGCCAGTCAGCCTAAATGCCAAATTGAGTTTGCGGCGTCCGAGCAGCCAGCACAAGTTGATAAAACTTGCGACCGTTTCACGTTCAACGTGGCGTATAAGTGTTTTTTCTTGTAAGTCACACGTACAGCTAGTTTGCGCGTGTGTGTGTGCTGTGTGCTGTGTGTATCTGTGTATTTATATTTGTATATCGCATTTTGCTCTCTGTCTCAGTGTCTGTGTGTTTCTGCCTGTTTGTTTGCCACTTCAACTCCGTCAGGGCTTACAGATTCTCTGTTGGCCCTATCTCTGTATATGTATGTGCGTGTGTGTGTATGGGCTTGTGTGTTTTATTGTGCGTGTGTTTGTGTTGTTTGAGCTTAGCATTTTTTCCTTGCCTAAGTCAAATAATGCGCCAACACATCATTTCACACTTAAATGCTGTAAAAATATGCATAAAGCTTTGACGCTTGAAACGAATTTGATTTCTCGCTGCCCTTTTTCGTATATCGTTGACGTATGCCCCATGTTTAATTCCACTGTATTCCGTTATACGAACATTTACCTGATTGGCATTGCAATTTATAAAATATTATGCTATGGTATAACTAATTGATCTATACTTAACTGTTTCGAAGAGTCATGTTTCATTCCACTTCGTTCCTTATAAAAAAATTATTCTGAATGTATCTATAGTACATACTGTTTATAGCTGCTAAAATTAAATCACGTTCATTTTTCACTCAATTTCTCCTAACATATAGTTAACATATGTAAAATCCATCTAACATTTACATTCCCAATGATCCTTTTTAGTATTACTGGTTTCTTAAACCAACATATATAAATAAAACATATTAAATTAACTTAAAATCTACGCTACATAAAAGTTATCTAATGTTAGCTTATGTAACATGTCTTTAACATGCACTTAACATATGTTAAACTTACATAACATCTGCACACTTGTTCTAATTGTTAGTCAAAAAACTATTCTAGTTAATGATTAGTGTAATAGCATGTGTTCTACATGCCTTTAACAGTTGCTCAACTTAATTCATGTCATATAACATAGACTTGTTTCATTCCAGCCATTTCCCCTTATTGTCAGTTTTTAACGGCCCCAAAAAGTATGCTATGGTAAATGTATTTCGTGTTAACTTCACACATGCTTTTTACTTGTCTCATGTATAATTTTATACTTTTTTTCTTTCTTACTTACATATCTCAATTGCTGTTTGTAAGCAACACGGCGGTTGTCGTATGTTGTTGTTGTTGTTGTTTGTGCGTTGACTGGCAGCATCAATCTCTGTTCTGCTGAAGCATTTGGCATCTAACACAGGCAAAGTCTGTTGCTGTTTGCTTTATGCCTGTCGCGCCACGGGCCCAAAACACCTTAGTTGTTGTTGTAGATGTTATATATATTTATTTCGTGCTTTGCTTACAAAATCTAAGAAGCAGCGACCCAGCAACAACGTCGCAAAGGGGCAACCACTGAAGTCGAATCCAAAAATATGAAGCGCACAATATATTTTTAGTTGTCGAGCCGCAGCCACACACACAGACACATACATATATAAACAAACAGTGCGAGTGTGAGCGTTTGTGTGTGTGTGGTTTTTGTATGTATTTGCCTTGATATTTTAAGTATCCTGTTTGCGTTTTGTGGGCTTCGGCTGCTGCTGCTGCTCCTGCTCCTGCTCTTGCCTGTCCTCTTCTTCTTGTTCGTCTTCTTCTTCTGTTGGCTATGCCTCTTCTTTTGTGTTATGCTTTATTCTTTGTTTAGTATTATTTGCGTAAATGGCATTTACGTTTTGCTTCTTTTCGACACCTTCAATTTGATTCGATTTATGTAAAATTGTCTATATGTATATATTTTTGTTGATTATCAATAAAAATAATTAACTTAAGCTTTTTTGTTGCTTATTGTCAACGTAGATTGGCTTAGTCTTTGACAGGTGCAAATAACAAGGTGCAAATTGTTTACTTAAATCTAATTTATTGTCACACACTCAAATATTTTATTAATTTTTAGTCACATCTGTTTTTGTTATTGTCTTTGGTTTTCTTTTTGTTTATTTTTAATTCACTTTGATTTTATTTTTACAAATGCAAAGTCAACTTAATGGTTTTTGTCATTTAATTTGATGTTTTTATTTTTTATTTCACCTCGATTTCATTTTACAAATGCAAAGTCAACTTTAGGCCGTTACTTTTTTCATACTTTGCTATGCGCTTGCTATTTAAGTGCCGTTATTAGTGATTTTGCTTTACTCTTTGTTGTTGTTACTACGGCCTCAGGTTTCAGCTACAGCTTCAGCTCTAGCTTCAGCTGCTGCTGTGGTCATTTGTCTGTACTGTTACTGCTGTTGCTGTTGTTGTTGCTGCTTTTGTTGTTACTACTGCTGCTGCTGTTGTTATAGTATTGGTATTGGTGTTGGTGGTGGTGGCACCGTTGCACGCACCGCACTCGTAGCACGTGCTATGGGCACGACGTCAGTCTACGACAACCGCCTACGCACTGCAAGAACTTCGTGGCGACGCGGCCATTTCAATTACAAATTCATGGAAGAGCGAGCACAGTAGCAAAGTAAATCCACACATCGATAAACACAAGCCAATGGCATGCAAGCCAAACGATAGACTTTAATTTTCAAAAAGTGTTTGAGAATAACTTTTTAAAGCCAACAGCTTTTTGTATTCTCTTATACTGTGTGCACTGCATATATGTCAACTGACAGAAAACAAACTTTTACTATTCAAATAAATTAATTTCTTTATGTAAAAATACTGCTTAATCTACTCAGCAGCCAAGCGCCAAGGCATGCATCGATTTAAACGATATATCGATAAAAATGCTAAACGCTCTCTTAAGCTGGTGAATTTCGTATCTTTTGCGCGCCTGTTGGCATGCATTGTATTTTGTATAGCAGCTGCTGCTGCTGCCGGGGCCGGCTGTGTGATAACTTGACTTGATTGTATGTGCTGAGAGCGCTCTCTCGCTCTCCCTAGCACTCGAAATTCACCACACTTTGGCACACTCCTTAGCTAAGCAGCAGTCTCAGCCGCTGCTAGTATGAAAGTGAAAGCCACAGCCGGGCTTTATTAATGTTAGGGAATTGGGTTGGAATGACGGGTATATAGATTGATACCCAAAACATAAATGTCTTTATCTTGATAAATAATCATTTAAAATAGTTGAGAAATTGGTATAACAATAAGATTTGAAATAAAATAATTGCAGGTAGCCACAAATATTGATAAAAGATTTGTTTACAGGGCATTTGATCGTCGAGTTAAATGTACAATAACTGGGCGCTTTGAAGCTTGCATAATGCATAATGCATTTAATTCACGTTTGTCTCTTAGTCCTCATATGTGTGTGTGTTTGTTTATATAAAAGGCTGTGCTTGCAATTAGCCATTGTTGATTTTATTTATTGCTTACACACACAGGCACTCATGGACAGCAATGCACTTGCTTGCAAGCAAGTGCATGTCCTTGCACTTGGCAGCTTAACACTTTGTGGAAGTGGCCGTACGTGAGCATCTAAACGGCTCTTCCTCTTTGCATGTGTCTGTGTACGTCGTTTATCGTTATTCACCGTTACGCAAAAACAATAGCATAGTGCAGACTGGCAGACAATAGCAACTAGGCAAGGAGAGGAAATGTGCAGTGCATAGAGAAAGATATAGAGAGAGAAAGCGAGAGAGAGTGAGAGAGGAGGGCAGAGATGCAAAGAGAGTTAGAACGCTCGCGCGTGTATATGTGCGGGGCTTCGGTCCAAGTGCTGTGACTAGGAAGTCATAAATTTTCCAAACGGTTAACAGGTGCATTTGAAATGCCAGCGCGCGCGTGTATGGGTGTGTGTGTGCATTTTAAATGGAGGAAATTTAAGATTACAGTTCAGCTGTTCCACTATCTCTTAAAACGTTTCACAGGCTCTCATCAGTTCCATAAGCACAGTTATCAATCATATGGTGACGGCTGCTCTCACCATGGATCAGATGCCAAACACAAACAAAGTGCAAATAGACTTACCCTTTGCTTGGAAGGGTAACTGCGACTAGACTGGAGTGCAACTGCGGAATGACTGCCAGCTTAAGCGTTCGGACAGACAGCTCTGAAGGTCTTTTAGGGCCACGACTTTGGCGTGCCTCATGAAAATTCCATCTAGTTGAAGTTGCGTTACTCTGTGTCACGCGGGAAATTTATTCAGATTTTTGCGGCCAATAGCGATTGTGAGTCAACGGAAATTCTAGGAACAACAAACCGCCCCCAGAAAAAAAAAACAAACCCACAAGCAAGTTTCGCCTGTTGCATGTCGCTGTGTGTATGAGTGTTTCAGAGAGAAAGAGAGAGAGAGAGAAGTGAAAGATAGGGAGTGTGTGTGTTTGCGAATCAATGTAGTGTTAATAAGTGTCATTTTCACGGAAAATCCTGTAGCTGGAAAATGCAAATAAAATAAAAAGAAAAATAAATAAAAGGTGTGAACGTATATAAATATTTCAAATGAAGTGCAATTGAAAATTTAAAAAAAATCTTTTAAGAGATTACAAATCAATCAGTGCACTTTAACATAGCAAAAGCTGCTTTGTGTTCTTTGAATGCAACACTAAGTACAGCTTATGCATCGTTAACAGCGCAATTAGAGCAAATTAAAATAGCACCATCAGCTTTGCGCTCTTTGACTGCAGAATTTAAGTACAGCGTACGCAGCGGCACCAGTGCAATTAGAGCAAATTAACAAAACAAAACCACAGATGGTATAGAAATGCTATGCATAGCTAACAGTGCAATTAGAGCAAATTAGCAAAGCAAGCCACTGTTAAAAGATTCACGACTTCTGAATCGCTATAGCAACGGAGCTCTTTAACAGTGCACTTACTGCAAATTAACATAGCAACAGTTCCTTTGTTAAGCACAGCTTAAAACTAACATTGCATTTGCCTGGAGTGTAAGAGGCATGTAAAGTTAGAGTTAGAGAGAGAGAGAGAAAGGGAGAATGAGAGTTCTTTGCACATTAACAAAGCAATAAAATATGTTAAGTAGCTAGAAAGTCGGAGCGCAGCTGATGAAAAACATCTAAAGCATAAAATGCCAACGGTAGCATAAAACGCACTTGAGTCCCGATAAGGATACACAAGTTACCCACAGGGCGAGTGACAGCTAATCGGATTTAATTTAATTAAAAGGTAAAAGGACTTGTCCGCTAAGCTGCAGCGGTGACATTGAAGAACGCCACAAAGAGAATGAGCAGCATCAACTACAACGACGACAAAGCCTCGCGAAAGAACAAAAGCAAAATCGCTTGATAGCATTTTCATTACATACTCTTTCATACGCATACAAACACACACATACACACATGCAAGTGCGTGCTGATTCTTGTGCGTAAGTTAAGAGAGTGAAATAAAGAAATGGCCGCATGTTTCATGGCAAATTGTCAGGTGCTAAGCTTTGATAAAGTGCTCAACGGGCAAAAAGTTAAGCCCACGCACCAAACACACACAATCACACATACACGCATACATAAACTGCGCACTAAAGTGCTCGAACAAAACGCAGACACCGAATATTTATTCAATGCTCGCCGCTCCTTTGTGTGGCGACAGCTCGCGCTGCGCTTGGCACAGGTCAATTCGGTTTTTTTTGCTCTTGCTTCTTTTTTCTCTTTGGGCAACTTTCAATATGGAAAATTTTTTAGTCGAATTTGGAGAGGTATGGGCACAGGTAACTGTAAAAGAATGAATTTTGAACAAAATCATATGAGCGCTATACATATATAGTTACACAGACATACATACATATATATATATATATATATATGATATGATATATATATATATATATATATATATGTGTGTATGTGTTTGTGTGCGGGTACTGGGTTTTTTGTTTATGGAAAGTGTTATTGTTTGACTTTGAACTTTGGCACTTGTTTGTCGTCCGTACGTTGGGCACTGTGCGTATGTGTGTGTGCGAAGGAGAGTGAGTTCACTGTATGTGTGTGCTTTTGAACCAAGCTTGATGACAGGCCCAAACAATATCATAAAATTTAATGCGCTCATTTTTCATGGGCTAACAGAGGCATACGCACACATTCACTCTCCCCCACACACGCGTAGAGAAGGCTAACTCAAATAAATCATAAGCGCAAATTTTATCACTTTATTTTTCTGCAAGCTTATTTAGAATGATTGAAATGTTTCGTTTTACATAAAACTAATGATGCAATTGCTCATAATGGTTGTTCACACGAAAGCCAAATAATATATCAGAGTTGAGAATTTCATGCATAATATATACTAATATATGTTTGTTTTTTAAATTCAGCGCCATTTTTAGTGCCGGTGCTGCCAACTTGTTTCGCTACGGAGAATTTCTCAAAACAGACATCAATTGGCAGTACCACAAGACAGCTATTCACCAAAGCAAACATATCGAATCATATCGTCCGCCCGCCACAACTAGTCGTTTTTCAGCAACACCTTTTACACAAACGGCAAGCTTGAAAATAATTTACAAAAGGAAAGTAACTATTAAAGATGGAAGAAATACGAAGTAGCTTAGACAATATAATGGCACGCTTCAATGATAGCATTACACACTCAGCGCCCAAGAAGCTCAGTTTCGACCGGCTTTCCATGTCGTTCAGCGAAGACTCTGTGACAGGTAAGAAGAAGAGCTACAACTATGTTGAAAATAAATTAAACACGAACTTATACATAAAGTGCCAAAGAAACGCCGCATCGATAGCCTGGATACTAGTTCAGCGAACGCCAGCTTCAATGCCAGCAATACGTCGCTAAATAATTCATTCACTGATCCCGTGGGTCCTTGGCAGACGCGCAAACTGCGTGCCGAACTCATCGAAACGAAGGCCATAGTAAATCAACTGCAGGATCAACTAGGACAGCAGGCGAAGGAGCATCGAGGAGCGCTAGCTTTGGCCGAAAGCAAGGCAGCAGCACTTAAGGAGCAATGTGACTATACAAGCAGCAAGCTAATCGAGCAGGAGAAGCAACTACAGGTGATACGTAAAAGGGAGCACAACGCTCGTCAGGAAGCAAATCGTACCATCGCAGAGCTGGCCCAACAGAAGCTCAAATACGAGACGGCGTTGAGCCGAGTGGAACAAGAGAAAACGCAGCTGGAGGAGGATGCTCGGGAAGTACAGCACTGCATCAACAATGAGCTAAGCGAATACAAAAGAATGTGCGAACGTGCCGAAATGGAATTAAGGGTGACACAGGAGGAGCTGGAGCGCATCAGAGAGCGTCACGATGAATATAAGGAAACTGCTGCAAACTACGAGCAGCTGCAGTTGAACTACGAAATGCAGCAACAGAATTTAAACACAGCGAATGCGCGCATTAAGGAGCTGGAGTATGAAATACAATCGTATGCCGATTGGAAGGAGGTGACTAAGACGTCACAAGCACGTTTGCTCAGTGTGCCAGAGCTGCAATCCGAATTGGAACGACTGCGTCTACACAATAAGCAACTGAATTCCTTGATTGGGGACAAATTGCTGCTGGAGGAACAGGTGCACGATTACAAGACACGTCTCGATCGCGAGGAGGGCGCCCGTGCCGAAGCAGCTGCACTGCAGGTGAAGTTGGCGCATGTCGAGCAGGAGTTGAAGGAGTGGGTGAAAATTGCACAAGATCATTGTCTGGCCAATACGCTCGTTAGCCCCATGGCTCTGCGCACACGTATCGAACAGCTGCTCCAAGATGACATCGTACGCATGGCAGAGAAGAGCAGCGCCGCTCTAGACTCCAAGCAATTGCAGACGTCGGTGCGTGAGCTGGAGCAGAAGTGCGCCGTCTATCTAAAGAACATTGATGATATGAATGTGGTACTTAAACGCCATAAGAGCTTCCGCGAGCGACTGCAGCGCAAATTGCTGATTGTGTGCAAGGAGCGCGACTTCTATAAGCAGCTGCTGGAGAATTTCGACAAAGATCTCAATATGACAAATGCGAGCACCGCTGAAATGACCAACGATATGCAGGTGCGCTACCGTGTCGAAGTGCTGGAACGCACCTTGACAGGCTACAAGGAGATGTGCTCAACACTCGAGCGTGAAATGCAAACGATGCGGCAGCAGGAATCGTTGAATGATCCGCCAATCACTGAGAGTGGCTACGATGGAGTTAAGCGAGAGCTGGATACGCTGCGTATGGAGAACGAGCGTCTTAGGCGTCGCAAAGACGAACTCGAGCTGGAAATGGAGCATCGTTGCCTGCGCGGCGATTTCAACATGGGCAACTACAAGGTTCTGCATCTGAGCGAGAATCCCGCTGCACAGGCATACGAGGCGACCAAGAATGTGGTCGAAAAGCTGCAGGCGGAGGTGAGTGGGAGTTGGACTAGCTATGGCTTACAGTTAATGGAACTTACAGTTAATCGTTTTTTTGTTTTCCAGATTGAGCGCTTGAAGCGTCGTAATAAGAAGCTGGAGGAGGATCAGGAACAGACACAAGCGCGTTTCAATGAAACCTGCAGCAGCAGCAATGCTGGCGGTGGCATGACCATGAATTTCAAGGAATTCAATCAGCTGCGCGCTGAACTGGAATCGGCCAATGGCAAAATGAAAAAGATGAAGGATTGCTTCAAGGCAGCCAGCAAAGAGTTTCGCGATGTCTGCTATATGCTGCTAGGCTACAGAATTGATCGCGTGGGCGCCAATAGCCACTATCGGTGGGTCTTCGGATATATATACATATATAGGAACACAAACTAATATATATATTTTGTATACTTCTGTAGCATTTCGAGCATGTATGCAGAGAGTCCGGATGATTATTTGTCAATTAGCTTAAATGAATCGAATTGCTTGGCTCTGCTGGAGTCGCCCTATTCGCAGACACTGAAACCGGCCATCGATCAGCAGTTGGCAGCCAGTAATTCGTTTCCCGCTTTCTTTGCGGCGCTCACCTTGGAGCTCTTCCAGCGTGCCACGGTCACAATTAACTAAGGCGAACCAACAGACATTATGTATACCTAATTATAACAACATTTAGCATAGTTTAGCAATATATAAATTTACACACACAGAGAGATTAAATGTTTAATTTTGAATTGAATTGAATCGCACACTCACAGCTTCCGCACGTCGCGATAAGCAGTTGCCACAGTATGTTTAAGAATTCTATGGTGCATAGATAAAACTTGCGGCGCAGAGCTCTCCGTTTTTGGCCAGTTGGAACAGCACTGCGAGCGCTTTTAACCACAACATTGTTTAATTGTTAGCGCGATAAACGATGTCAAAATATTTTATAACTAATGACGTGCTCAAAAGATTTCGCGGCGCGATAAACGCGGCCAACAACAAATCATTTAATATTCCTAAAAACTTTATTTATTTATTTATAACTAATTTTAAGCAAAAGCTTTTGTGTATTATTTTCTTTGCTGCCTTTTCCTTTGCCTAGGGCTCGCTGCGCTGCTGTGATAAGCGCGCGTTTTGCACAATTGACAGAAGATGGAGAGCAGGCGATTATAATATATATATACCATATATACATACAGAAATATATATATATATCAGCTTATAGCGCCTATTGTGCATTTAGAATAACAACAAATGGAAAAGCAAAGCGCAGAAAAGGCTGTGGCTGTAGCACAACGAAGCTTAAATACGCTAGGCACTTACTTTGCGGACAATTATTATTGAAGGTACAGTAGAACTTCGCTAAAACGGACAAGCAATACCAAGCTAGTGTATAAATATAGACTGTTTAAGCAGAATCCACTGGAGAATCAAGCTAAAACTAAGTTTATGCTAGCTGGGGATCACTGTAGAAGCGCTAAACTGTCGCTCACTGTCACACAACACGAAAGCAGACTGTGCTAGCAGCAAGCAAATCACGAGTTGCACATAAAACGTAGCCACAGTTAGGGTATGCCAGGAGGAGAAGCCACAAAATGCGGACAATAGGCACAGTAAACTACGATGGACTACAGTAGTCATACAATATATTAGAATACACACATAAATACATAGAATTAGAGGCTGAAGCCAGCCAACTGCCCGCCATTAGTTGGCCAATATGCGTGCCACTTGATCCGGTGTTTTGTGCAGCAGCGCCTCGGGCTGTTCGAAGCCGTTGGCTGGATCGTGGACACGTTCATAGATCTGTTTATAGATGGCCACAATTACGTTGAAGGCGCGTCGCTGGACGGTGCTGCGATGGGCGCTGGACATGATTAGCTGCACCTGCGGCAGCAGCAGCACATCGGGCAGCTCGAGGAATGCATCCATTTTGGACATGAAAATCTTTAGCAAATTCGTCTCGATTTTCGTCTGGTTGCTTTGAAGTATGGTGTAGATGGGACCCAGATTGAGATTGGCCACCAGCGAGGAGGCCTGCTCAGAGGTGAGCGTATCCAGCTGGGCATCTGACTGCGCCTGCAAACGTTCCACGCGCTCATCCATATACTCAAAGACCGCCAAGGTGCTCTGCATGTGATACAGGCAGTTGAGCAAGTAGACAGCCATGTCCACGGTGGGCAAATGGGCGGCGCTCTCCTGCACCGATTGCAGCAGGGGATCAATGACACAGGTGACAATCTTGGTGATGTCCGCCTGGCGGCCATCCACCATGGTGGCCACCGAGAGGATCTCTTTCAGTATGTTGAGCAGTCGAGCAACGCTGGCCGGCGGCACTAGATCACGCTGCGGCGGCTCCAGAGCCAAACTGGTGCCCGCTGGCCGCTGCAGCACGCTGCGCACCTGAGCAGCCAAAGCATTCAAATAGATCTGCTCGCTGCCCTGCTGCAGGTCAATGAGGCACTGTTCCAGGCTGCCGCCTTGCACCACCTGCTTCATGATTTGCTGATAGAAACGCAAGAGATTGGAGATGGTGAACAGTATGATGGTATCCTGTTCCGAGCCCAATATCGTGTCCACGCGCACCTTGAGCGGATGGCAGACGCCATCGGCTATGTAGCTCAAAGCTTTTTGCATTTGCTCCGAGATATCTGCAAGGCAAAGGAGGAAACATTAAAATATGCTGGACACATGAGAAGCAGAAGTTGATTTCTTGCCATGCTTATCGCACTTCTTGAAGAGCAGCATTAGATTCTCCTTCTCATTGGGAATGCTCTGATGCAGCCAGGCAAACATGTCGCCAATATAACGCTTCGGGTCATGTGCATGCAGCTCAATGGGCTTCGGATTGCCGCCATGGCCACCCTCGGTGAGCGCCTCGATGAATTGCCTGACGAGCACAGCTCGTCGTGCAATCGCATACTCATCGATGACATACTTGAAGAGCACCGGCCTGTCCTGCAGCCGGCTCATTGCCTCGACGATCAAGGGGCCGATTTCGTTGTTTTCCAAATTTCTACAATGATTCTGGGTCCAGCGATAGAGACGCTCCAGTGCGCCCTCCTGATGCAGTGTCATCTCCTCCATTATGTCCAACGCAGCCGTTTGATAGCCGCATTGCATTAGCAGCCGGCAATCGGAATGTATGGACTGCACACGATCCAGCACCTTAAAGAATTCGGGCACAATGGGCGCATCCTTGGCCGTGCCGTAGAGCAATTGATGCTCCGGCACGCTGAGCTGAAAGCGCGCCAAGAAAGCTTGCGCGATTTGCTGATGCACTTCGAGGCGTTCGCGTTCCTCTTGCATTTTGTTGGTCTGCTCGATTAGATCTTTGGTCAGCGCCTTGGAGGTTTCCAGGTCTGTTTTCATCGTCTGCACCGATGTGGCCATCGTATCCAGATCAGTGCAGACAGCATCTAGCGTAAGTTTCACCTCACGAAATGCTTTCAGAAAATTCTGATTGATGCCAACCGAACGATGTTCGATCTGACTGCGCAAATTGCGGCGATTTTGCAAAGTATTTTCGGTGAAAAAGCTGGATAATCCATTTAGGGCATCCAACGTATCCTTGTCCGTTTCCAGGCGCGTCTCCAGGATCTTATTTACGCGCTTTTGTATGCGATCCTGTTCCTCAGTTGCTGCGCTCATCTTTCTTCCAATTCGGCAACGTCAACATTAAGAATATAAATATCGTTTATACGAGGTAACCCATATTAACTACTTAACACAAAAGTTGTATACTCTTCACTACACATACAAATGTTACATATTTTAGTAACAAATTAAGTTTTCATACACTTAATGTACAACTTCTTGTATAAAACTTGCTGACATTACTGTAATCGCCATGTTCTGATATTAAAAGAATATTTTAAAGGCAGCAATATGAATAACTTAAAGCACGATAAAATCAAAATGGTTCGTGTACACTTTTATTACAGCTGTTCAAGTAAGTGCTGCCAACTTAGCACAAAAAAATAATATGCCATTAACATGCTTACACACCGCTGTGAATGGCAAATTATAATGAAGTAGAGAAAACTGAAAGTAAATTAAATTTCATGATATAAATTAAATATTGTTTAATAATAATATAAAATAAGACAAAACAAACTACAATGAGCCATTCCGCACTGGCCAGCTTGACAGCGCAATACACGGACTCGGAAAACGAAGGCGATGCCAGTCCAGACTCCGAAAATTCAACAGCATCGCAGGTAGAATATTTTATTCAACATAAATGTATTAAAACTAATAAAAATTATAATTTCCAGGTTATTATACCAAAGCAGGCAACACCGACACCCGCAACGCCTGTCAAGCAAGAACAGGAGCCGGAGAAGAAACACAAGAAAAAGAAACGTGCTAAGAAATTGCGTCGCTTGGTCAGCTACCAGGATGATACGTTAATCTCTGACGAAGAAGAGGATCGTGCGCAAGAGTCCTCGAGCGAAGAGGATTCCTCCAGCGACAGTGCCAACTCGCAGCCGGATAACGAACAGCATGAAAATGGCAAAGATAAAAGCAATGCTAAAGGAGATGGCAACACTGACACGCCCATGCAACTGGACGATGATGATTCCAATACATACAACGCAGAGGATCGCACGGCGGAGAGTTACGAGAAGGATCCGAAATACGCCAAATATAAATTTCAGTTGCCGCCAGAGCCAAAGGGCCAGCCGCCAGCCGAGCTGGTGGCAAAGATCACGAAAATGTATACGAAGATGAGGCAAACGAATATGGATATGAATCGTGTTATTCAGGATCGTAAGGAGTTTCGTAATCCGAGCATTTATGAGAAGCTGATCAGTTTTTGTGACATCAATGAATTCGGCACCAATTATCCACCCGAAATCTACGATCCACTGCAGTGGGGCGAGGAGAGTTACTATGAAGCGTTGTCGGCGGTGCAAAAAACTGAGATGCTTAAGCGGCAAAAGGATCGCAAGGATATGGACAAAGTGGAGCAGGCGACGGCGTTGGCCCGCAAAGTGGAGGAGGAGGCAAAGAAGCGGTAAGTGTTGCATTGATCTTGCATAGCAAATTATATCCAACTGTTGGTTTCTCTGCTGCAGCAAATCGAAGTGGGACCAGCCGGCCGCAAAAGCAACGTTACCTGCATTGACCACGACCGTGACTGGCACGAAGGGCACAGTTATTTCAGCATTCGGTTCGTTGCCCAAAAAGCCTGCAATCTAGGTTAATCAAAAATAATTAAATAAATATCTAATAATTAACAAACAAATTTCATGTAATATATTAACAATTGATAAGGTTTATAACTGCAGCTGCGTTTCGTGCCGATCGCTAAAATACTGCCATCTCTAGCGGCTGCAGTAGATCCAAAAACACAGCCCTGCTTATCGGTAAACCGCCAAGCAAAAAAGACTGCCACTGACTGCCAATAAAAGATTAGTTACGAATTAATTAATATTAATTTTTATTATTAATTAATATAATATTAATAATAATAGCGTTATTCTTAAGGATATTTAAAATAAAAAATAGACCGCTTAACCCTTGCTATTTGGTATTTTTATTTGGTCATTTCTTGAAGAAGCAATCGCTGGTAATTTGCACATTTTGTGCTGGCGGTCACACTGGTTATATGCTCGAACGTCGTGTCGTCGCCGTTTTCTGTTTTTAACCATTTCACATTTTTTCGTTTAAAAAATCCCAACAAAGTGTCTATTTTATTGCATGCGACAAATACAAGTACAACACTAAACACAAGCGTTATGATTTGAATACAAAGTGTACGTGGTTAATATTAGTTTTGTTATTTTGTTTTTTTGCATCCAACATACAAAACAAGCAAAGAAAACGAAGCGAAATGTCGACAACGCAGCAGCAGCAGCAGCAACAGCAACAAGCGCAGACGGCAAAGAATTTGATCTGAGCAGCGCAATTTGTATGCATGTGTGCGTGCATGCGTGTGTGAGTGAGCGAGAGAGAGATTACAATTATAAAAAAATGAACAAATACGAGTGAAATTTTTGTATAAGATAAAGAAGATGCGAAAGATACCAAGCACTCACATATGCAGCGTGTGTGTGCGTGTGCTTTTGAGTGTGTACAAAGCTCTTTTTGTGCGTTGCGATTATTGTTTAAACAATCTTGGCCGTGTTTTCATTTCAAGGTGCCTCATTATTTAGACGCCATTATAATGCAACCGGTACTGTGCCCATCTGTCTTGACTTCCAGTATGATTGTGTGTGTGTAAACGAGAAGGAGCGAGCTGGCCGCAGCAGCAAATTTCCATTTAGCTGCGCGAACAGCTTTTTTTTGCCGCCACTTGCGCTTGCAGCTCTTCTTCCTTCGCTTGCTGATTATAGCCCTGCATCGCCTCGTCCCGCTTGCCCATAAACTGTTACTTATTTATAGCATGCACTAAAATCAGCAGAGGCAGAGGGAAAAGCACCGGCAGTCACTTCAATCAAAAGCAACGGTCCAACACACACATATACACATACACAATTTCCAATTAAATCTACAAAATGCTCAATTGAAGCTAATTTCTATGGAAGTGCATATACCCCACTCTCCCCTGCCAGCTTCAGCTGCAGTTTAGCGCTCGCTCAGCACATGCTGTGTGTTTGATCATTGTTATTTTGTGTGTAAAATGCTTTCCCAGCAATATGCATAATAATATTCGCAAATAATAGACCGCCTACAGCTTTTGTTTTGAGCAACAATTGTCCGGCTAACTCGCTATCTCGCTCTTGCTAGTTTGTGCCACCTGTTTGCGTGTTTGCTTTGTCGTCACATTTCCAATGTTACCATAATAACAACAACAACTCAACGAAAGTTCTATTCAATATCGATAGCAAATAGCAGTAAGAGAGTGTGTGAGAGAGAGTGAGAGCACGCTCGCTCGCTATAAAACACAGTTGGAAGTGTGAACAGGCAAATATATTTATTACATACATATACAACCGTTTTTTGGAGCAAAAGTAAACAAAAACCAAACCAAACGAAACGAAAAAGAACGCGACGTGCGTTGGTCGTCTGTCTGTGTGTGCGTGCATATGCGTATTAATATATTTATATGTGTGTGTGTTTGTGTTAGTGTGTCTCTCGACTCTGACGGGCAACAAAACTGATATACTAAATTCAGCAAACAACAAAAGCGCTTAACGAGTGATTCAGCAACAACAACAACAAGTGGCAGCAGCAGCAACTACAACACAAAAACATGTCGGATTCGTATTATCAGGTGAGTCGGCGCCGCTGATAGCGCATTACATGGCCAGTTGCTGGCTTTTTTTTAGTTTCAGTTATTTTGTTTTTTATCAGCTAACATTTAGTCCCGAAGTACACGCACACCTGTTGCCAGGTAGACTCACACACGCATACATGCACAGCAGCCTGGTGCTTCCGGCTCAGCTGACGCAGCCACTTGTGGCATATCCTTAATGTGCCATTTCATTTAACATTTCCCCCGGATGTTTCTTGTTGTTGCTTGCCTGACGAGCTGAATAGCTAAAAAATATAAAACATTTCATCAAATTCCTTGTGGGACATGACTAACAGAAATGATGACGCAGAACCCTGAACCCTGAATGTTATATGTATGCTGTCTTAACTTAATTGTGTTGCATTTAACATAACTGGAATATGTAAGGCTTAGCATTGCTATATAACTGCGTAAATATGTTATTTAAAATGAAATTCTCTTAATCTAATTATGTTGCGCTTAATTGGTTGTAGCATTGCTAATTAACTGCGTAATTATGTTAGTTACTTCAAGGGAATGCGACTAATGTAATTTGCTTGCTGCTAATATGAGTGAACTATGCCTTGCTTCAACAATGCTGAGTAAATATGTTATTTATTGTGCATTTTATTAACATAATTAGATGGCAGTTAAAATGTTTGAAATTGTGGAGCAGTTAACATGAGTGAAATATGCTTAACATTTGATGTATGTTCAGTAAACATTTGCTGTTTGTTAACACAGTCTGTCAAGTACTTAAAGCTAAGCGTTTTAACATATGCATTACTGTTATTTTACATTTACATACAATGTTAACTATTTAAAGTTAATCTTTCGCACATATGCATTCATGTTATTTAACAGCTTTATGTGCTGTATGTACACGATGCTAACATACATAGTTAGCTGTAAACATGGTTAAAGAAACTTAACATTAATTATGTTATTATTGATATGTTGTTTGTTAGTATATATAAATTTACTTTTATATTCCTTTTAACAAAATCAACTGAAATGTAGAGTATATCTTTATTTGTACACACACATAATTCTTTATACTATATGGCACAGGAATGCCGTGCATTAGGCAATTACTTTTTATTTTTTTACTCTTCTCTAATTTTGTTCCAAATTAGAAAAAAACATTGTGTTATTCAAAGCGTTAACAGCGAACAAATGACATCATTTGGCATATTTGTTGGGCATTTTACTTGCGTGCATGTCCACACACTGTGTGTGTGTCTGTGTGTGTGTGTGCACAAAATGTCAATTGGTTTAAGTGCGTGGCCCACTGAACAAACGACGTGCATCTAAATGAAAGCAACAAATTAAACAACATGTTTATTAATAGCAGCAAATATTTACGATTCACTGCAAGTCACTCTCTGTCTGTGTGTGTGTTGATGTGTTTGTGTAATTGGATTGATGGCAATTAGAGAAGCTGCCTTATCGCTGCAAATGCGCTTATCAATTTAACAGTATGTGCAACTGGAACTAGATTTTCAGCACGTTCGCGCTGTTAAATGCAATGATTCGCCCAACTAATAGTACGGAAAGAAAAGCCGTCCATTTGGAGCAAAACAGCCATTACAGGTGGGGCGTGGTTATGTCATTGGCCGTGAATTGCGAAGGTGAAAATCATCAGTCAACCAAAAATTCAATTGGCCTTAATTTAAATCGTGTTTTTCGTATGTTTTTTGGAATGCAAATCACGAACTGAACAAGAATTGCAAGAAAAAGGAATGCTCTAGTTGAGCGTGAGCAACTAAGAGATGCCCTGTAGTTAGGCCCAAATTTGATAATATATGCAAGACTATATATATATTATAGAAGCATGTGCACTGCTTAGAGATACCCTGTTAGCAGCTGTTAAGAGGTCTGTAAGAAATGGTTAGCTCTTTTATTAACAGTTACTCAATCTATATAAGTTTCTTCTACAGTTATGCTCACCGAGCAGGCATTAAACCCATTTCCCATGACTACAGGGTATAGAAAGCTTCCTTTGAAATCAACAAAACCAGATTGAGCAGCAGTCGAATGTCATTTGCAGTGGTGCTGGTGGCCAGCTTTTTGTATAGCCCGCTTGCACCTGAAAGCGAGCAGCAACTGCAAGTTGCATGTTGCAAGTTGCATGCATTCGCATGGATGCTGCCTGCGGGCTAGCCTGGCTGCCTGTAGATCCAAGAACCGGTTGCCAGCTACATCTTTTTTATTTTGTTTTCGTTGTGGTGCACCAGAACAGGGTCAGGCCAGTTTGAATGGATGGATGGATGGATGGATTCCGATGCATATATATCCATTTCGCAGCGTAATGCGCTCGCCGGCTACAGCTACAGCTACTTAACAGCGAATGTCGGGCTTTATACCCTTTGCCGAGCATTTAATAACTTTCGAGTAGACCCTTAAGGACTTCATGACATCTATATATACATCTGTATAAGGCAGAGAAGTGTAGTCTGAAGTGCTGTTTAAAAATAGCCGAGTTAATGGAGCTATAAATACGTGACAAGCTAAAATTAGGTTCAGCTTTTGTTCCTAATAGCAGCCAGTGAAATGTAATGGCTATTTTATGGCTATTTAACAGTGCTTTGACTATGGGCTAACAGCTGATTTATATAACAGAGTTGATTACATAGTTCTATGAACTGATCTTATGTTATGTTAATTTGAAAAACTTGTTAACTAACATGGCTCTCTTAACAGAGTATATCTATGTCATGGTTACACATACACTTTCAGAGCAGCGAACTAACATAATGATGTTAACAGTATTTAACCGAGCTTTAGTATATTCATGCAGACATTTCTCAGCATTCTATATATTTTCTATCTTTACCAGCAGCAAACTTAGCTCTAACATAATGCTGTTAACCTGTAATTGGCATATTTAATCATAGCTCGTTCTATTTGATGTTAAACATAATTCTGTTAACAGTGCTGCGCAGTTAATTATAGCTCGTCCTTTTTAGCTGTACGCATGATTCTATTAACATTTTAACCTGGTTACGTTTTAATTGCA